CCGATGTTATTGTTTTTGTTATGATTTGATTTCAGTTTGATTTGGCGAACCACTTTTGGTAATAGAAATATTGATTAGGCCTTTGTTTTGGGGGACTTTTTTTCTATTTTTATACCCTTCACCACACTGTGGTACAGGGTATTATGTCTTTGTGCATATGTTTGTAACAGACAAAAATAATCGAGATAGACCCATGGTTCCTTTTGAGAATATGCATAGAATCACTTTCTGAGTCGATTTATGCATGTCCGTCTGTCCGTCCGTCTGTCCGTCCGTCCATGTATTTTTGTTAACAAAGTACAGGTCACATTTATGATCCGATTTGGATGAAATTTGGCACAGGTCACTTAATTGGCCCAAGGACGAAACCTATTGAAATTGGAGAAAATCGGTCCACGTTTAGGCATAGCTCCCATATAAGGGTACCCCAAAATTTTCGGTATTTTGAGGTTCTTGAGCGCGTTTTTTAACTGAATTCGCTGAAATTTGGTACTTTGAGTTCTTATTGGGTAGCAAATCTCTCTACCAAAAATTATAAACAAAGGTCAATTTTTTCGGATAGCCCCCATATAAGGGTACCCCCAAATTTTCGGTATTTTGAGGTTCTTGAGCGCGTTTTTTAACTGAATTCGCTGAAATTTGGTACATTGAGTTCTTATTGGGTAGCAAATATCCCTACCAAAAATTATAAATAAAGGTCCATTTTTCGGATAGCCCCCATATAAGATTACCCCCAATTTTCGGTATTTTGGGGGTTTTGATAGCATTTTTCGACCGAATTTGCTGAAATTTGGTACTTTGTGTTCTCATTGGGTAGCAAATCTCCTTACCAAAAATTAAAAGTAAATGTCAATTTTTTCGGATAGCCCCCATATAAGGGTACCCCACATTTTCGGTGTTTTCGGGTTCTTGGGCTTGTTTTATAACTGAATTCTCTGAAATTTTGTACATTGGGTTCTTATTGGGTACCAAATTACTCCACTAAAAATTATAAATATAGGTCTAGTTTTTCTGGTAGTCCCCATATAACGTTACCCCAAATTTTTGGTATTTTGGGGGTTCTGATCGTATTTTTCAACCAAATTGACTTAATTTAGTACGTCGAGTTCTTATTAGGTAGCACATCTCTACACTATAAATAATGGTCAATTTTTTCTGGTAGCCCCCAGGTTTTGAGGTTCTTGAACCAATTTTTTTTTCTGGCACAGGATATTATGTTTTTGCGCATATGTTTGTAGCAGGCAGTAGGAAACGAGACTGACACATACGACTTCTGTTAGGATTCATTTCTTGAATATACTCAAAGTGGTGAAGGGTATCATATAGTCGGCCCCGTCCGACTTTACTACTTTCCTTACTGGTTCAACTTGGTATTCATTTCACGAACAATAACCCGAGTGCTGGGCCAGTCTGTCTGCCTGCCACTGTTGTTGTTTCGCATTTCATATCCTCCAAATTTGGTTGTTATATGGATTTACGTTAATTTGCCTTTGTTTTCAATCAATAAAAAAAACTATTTGACTTTTCGATAACAATGTAGAAAAAAATTGGTTTATTAAAAAAAAAAGGAAAAACAAAACGGCCTGTAATAACCCCACTTTGGCTGATGACATTTTTTTAAAAAACAATCCACAATTATTGGCAATAACAACAACAAGAAGAAATTTCACTTTCTTTTTATTTTTAATTTTCAGTAATGGAAGTTAGTTGTTGTTGTTGTCGGTTTTTGTTTTTTTATTTGCAAACACTATTCCAGTTATGGTGGCCCGAGCCTTGTATTTCGTTTTAGAGACTGGTTTACCAATCAAATTGGCCTTTGAATATCGATTGTTAAGATGTTATACTTGTAGTTTTGTAAACAGCTAACATAAAAACTTGTTGATGGCCTTAATGGTGGTTTGGAATTTTATTAAAAAAAATTAAAAAAAAACAAGACAAAAATTTTTTTAATCCAAGTTTAAATTACAAAAAAAAAATGTTTTCCTCATTTCAAAAAAAAAATAAATAATTTACCCTAAATAAGGAAAACATGAAGTGCAGAAATTACACTTAAATATAATTTCTAATTGGAAAAAATCCAACTAAAAAAATTGCCGACCACCAAAGCTACTGTAAAAACCACAAAGAGATGGACCCACAAAACAAGGCCTTTGTTTAAACCCAAACAAAAAAATTAACTTGCGGAAGTTCATCTATTAAAAAAAAAATTAAATAACTCCAAAAAACAAGACTTTAAAATTTATATAATTCAAAAAAATAAAAACAAACAATTCTTAACAGCCCCTAAAAAATCGATAACTAACCTGAAAACAAAACAACCATCACGAAAAAATTTACATAAAAAACAAGAAAAAGTTTTAAATCTATCGCCTTTGAAATACAATAAAAAAATCAAAATTATTCATGAATTAATTTTCTTGTTAGCCACTCTGTCTGTCTCTCAAGCGATAAACACACGCAAGTCCACGCTATGTCCATGTGTCTGTATATGTGTGTCACACACAAAAAAAAAATTAACTAATTAAAATTCCATATAGAATTTTTTATTTCTTTTGTAAAGATTAAGGTTAAAGAAAAAAAACGTTATGTTTTGAATTGCTTTGGGAAAAATAATTTGCTAAAAAAATATATAATTTGGTAATTTTTTTTGTCGTTTTCTAACAAAATTTGGTAATTTTTTTGTCGTTTGGTAATTTTTTTGTCGTTTTCTCAAAGAAAATAAATCGATAACAAAGTTATCGATTAAAAAATAAGTCAATAACTCCATTATCGATTAGAAAATAAATCGATAACTCTGTTATCGGTTGGAAAAGAGATCGATAACAATGATTTTTCTAAGAAATATAATCGATAACAATGTTATTGAGTAGGAAATAACTCGATAATTCTGTTATCAGTTGGAAAAAAGATCGATAACAATGATTTTTCTAAGAAATATAATCGATAACCATGTTTTGGAGTAGAAAATAAATCGATAACTCTTTTATCGATTGAACAATAAATCGATAACAAGGATTTATGTATGAAACTAAATCGATAACAGTGTTATCGGTTAAAAATAAAACGATAACAGTGTTATCGGATAAAAAATATGTCAATAACTCTATTATCGATTAGAAAATAAATCGATAACCCTGTTATCGATTGAACAAAAAATCGATAACAATGATTTATGTATGAATCGGAATCGATAACAATGTTGACGGTTGAGAAATAAATCGATAACAATGTTATCGGTTGACAAATTAATCGATAACAATGTTATCGGTTGAAAAATAAATCGATTATAACTTTTTCCGTATGCAACCAATTCGATAACTATATTTTCTATGTAAAATCAAACCGATAACAGTGCTTTCGTTAAAAAAATAAATCGATAACAAAGTTATCGATTGAAAAATTAATCGATAACAAAGTTATCGGTTGAAAAAGAAATCGATTATAACTTTTTCCGCATGAAACCAAATCGATAACTATATTTTCTGTGTAAAATCATACCGATAACAATACTTTCGTTTAGAAAATAAATCGATAACAATATTTTTTATTAAGAAAAATAACCAATAACAAATAAATTCATCTATAATAATTTTTTTTGGTTTCCGTATGAAACCAAAACGATAACTATTCTGTGGGATATCAAACCGACAACAGTATTTTCAATTAGAAAAACAAATCGATAACAATATTTTTGTTAAGAAAAACAACCGATAACAATATTTTCGAGTAGAAAATAAATCGATAACAATATTACTCCTTAGAAACATAATCGATAACAATGTTTTCCATTATAAAATAAATCTATAACGATGTTTTAGGTTAGATATTTAATCGATAACAATGTTTTCGATTATAAAATAAATCGATAACAATGTTTTCGATTATAAAATAAATCGATAACAATGTTTTCGATTAGAAAATAAATCGATAGCTATGTTATCTGTAAGTAACTTAATCGATAGCGACGTCTTTAATAAATAATTAAATCGATAACAATATTTTTCTTTAGAAATATAACCGATAACAAAGTTTTCGTTTATAAAATAAATCGATAATAATGTTTTTGGTTAGAACCTTAAACGATAACAATATTTTCGGTAGATAATTAAATCGATAACAATATTATGCCTTAGAAATATAACCGATAACAATGTTTTCTGCTATAAAATAAATCGATAACAATGTTTTTGGTTATAAACTAAACGATAACAATATTTTCCGTAGATAATTAAATCGATAACATTATTATATTATATAATAAATCGATAACAATATTATATATAAATATTTAAAACGATAATAATTCTTTGTGATCGAAAATAAATCGATAACACTTACTTTTTTTATACATATAACGACAAAACTGTTATCTATACAAAACCTAATCGATAACATTGTATTCGTCAAAAAATCATAACCGATAACAGTGTTTATTTTAAAATATGAAGTCGATAAAAGCGCTTTCTATGGAAACAAAAATCGATAACAATGTTTTCTGTGAGAAATATGAACGATAACAATGTTTTCTATCCAAAATATAATCGATAACAATGTTTTCTATCACAAACATAATCGATAACAATATTATCAAGAAAATATAATCGATAACAATGTTTCATAAAGAAATTATAATCGATAAAAAAATTTTATTGTTGGCATGGTTTTCTTTAAGAAACATAATCGATAACAAAAATTTGTATACAAAATAGAATCGATATCATAATTTTCTTAAGAAAATATAATCGATAACAATGTTTCATATAAAAAATTATAATCGATAACATGGTTTTCTGTAAGAAACGTAATCGATAACATGATTTTGTCTTAAATTTATTATCGATAACTGTGTTTCCCTAAGAAATTATAATCGATAACAATGTTTTTGTAATCGATAACAATGTTTATCTAAGAAATTATATATAAGAAATTATAATCGATATCAATATTTCATAAAAATTTATAATCGATAAAAATACAAATTTTTCTAATTCTCCCCCTTTCTCTCTTTCCCTCTCGTTCCAGCAATGCCATAATGGAACCAATGACTGCCCTGGTATTGGCCTTTCAACTCTTGGCCCTTTTCTCCATTGCCGGAGCCCTGATCATCTATTTGATCTGCAAGGTACGCGACGATGATGTCAAAAAGGCGGAACATCCCAAATCGAACACCGTCTTGGTGACCAGTGCCGATACAGCATTGGGTCTACAATTGTGCACCCATTTGGCCAGTAAGGGTTGCCGGGTGCTGGCCGGCATGAAAGATGGTGTCGATAGCCTACCGGCAAAGCTCTTGATTGGTTGGTTGAAAATGCGTGAATTCACTGAAGCCCCTGTGTCGGGTGAGATTATACCCATTTTCTTGGATGTGACCAAAGATGAAGTGTTGCGTGAGGCAACGGAAAATTTGGGACGTCATTTGAGTGCTGGCGAACAGGGTATCCAGGCGGTTATCAATACCAGCGGAACCTTTTATCGTGGGCGTATTGAATCGCAGGAGCTATACCAAATGGAACAGATGTTTAAGACGAATATTTTGGGTTCGCTGCGCATTGCCAAGGCTTTTGTGGAGTTCCTGAAGCCGACCGGTGGTCGTTTGATTTATTTGGGTGCCGCCAATGGGGGTCATGGCGATGGCATGATTGCCTACAATGTGTCCAAGGTGGCCACGGAGAAGTGTGTTCAAGAGGTGCGACGTGAACTGCAGCCGTTCGGTATTCGTGTGGTGTGTTTGGATACATGCGGTCTGCATGCTGAGATGTTGTATAAACCGCCAACGGCACAAAGTAAGTTGAGAGGGGGGGAGGATGGAGGAGAGGGTGGGGAATAGACTCTATAGGGAGGAACTAATTTTTATTATTTGTTTTCTCTCTTTTCTTTCTCCCATTCCAGTTTCCAGCGGTGCCCCCACAACCTATACCGCCAATGTCTTGAGTCCCAGTGCCCTCAGTGTCGTTGAACGTGCCCTGTGGGATCAATCGCCCCATGAACGCTACTCCCTCTTGGCCTCCACCAAATACCAGTTTGCGTTGCCATGCCGTTCCTCAATCCGTCTATCGAACAAAGCTGCCGACAATGGCGTGAAGAAGAATCCTTTGGAAAAATCCCTTAGCGGTGGAGTTGTACAACGCGTTTGAATTGAATTGCTGACAGCAGGGGCTTGAACCAAGGGGAAGGGCGAGGAGAAGTAGGACGGACTTTTGGCAAATCTGAAAAGCGAAAAAAGGATTAATTTTTTAATTGAGAATTTTTTATTTCAAAATTCAGAAGTGAATCCGATCATAATTATTTTCACAAATTTGGACTTGGTTGAAGAGTTTTGAAAATTGTTGTATTTTATTTTTTTTTTAATTTGGATTATTGAAATTAAATAAAAAACCAACGTTGTTGTTGACTTTGAGATTCAGAAAAAGATATTTTCTTAAATATTTCTTTTCAAGAGGGATTTTTGGTGTTGAAAAAATATTTTTCGAATATTTAAAAAAAATGTTTTTTAAAAAACTTTTTTTTTTATAAAAAAAATATTTTTTAAATATTTTTGTTGAGATTTTTTTTCAGAGAAAAATTTAAATTCTTGAAATAAAAATATTTTTTTAAATAACTTTTTCAAAAAAAATCAATATTAAAAAATTAAATTTAAAAAATTTTTGATTTTTTCTTGAAAAAATTATCTATTCTTAAAAAAATATTTTCATTTCAAGAATTTAAGTTTTTCTATAAAAAAATATTTTTTAAGAAAAATTAAATTTTTAATAACAATTTCGAAACATTGAATATTTCTTTAATTAAATTGTTTTCGCAAAAAAAAAAATAGGAAAGATTGGTTTTTTTGAAAAAAATATTTTTAAAATAATTAAAAAAATATTTTCCATAAAAAAATTTTTTTTTGAGATTTTTTTTTCATGGAAAATTTAAAATTTTTTGAAAAAAAATATTTTTTTAAGAAAAGATCTTATTTTCAAGAAAATTCTATATTTAAAAAAAATCAAAATAAAAATTTCGAAATTAAAATTTTGAAAATAATTTTTGGGAAAAATTACATTTAAAAAAAATATTTTTTTAAATACTTTTTAAGAAATTAAAAAAAAATTGATAATATTTTTTTAAGAAATTTAATTTTTTTTAATTTTTTTACACTTAAAAAAGTATTTTTTTTTAATTTTCAAACTTTTAAAAATATTTTTTAAGAAATTAAATTTTTTAAATCTTTTCTTTTAAAAGGAGAAGTACATCAAATTCTTTTTTAAGAAAAATTTAAATTTTGAAAATTTATATTACAAATATTTTTTTTTTTTTCATAAATGGATATTTTTAAGAAAAATTCAATTTTTAATAAAAATTTCCAAAATTTGAATTTTTCTTAAAAAAGAATTTAATGTACTTATCCTTTAAAAAAAATTTAAACTTTAAAAAAAATTCAAAAAAAATTAAATTTAAAAAAAATTAAAAAAAAATATTTTTGAGATTTTTTCAGAGAATTCATGGAATATTTTTTTTCAAGAAAAAATCAATATTTTCAAAAAAATTAGATTATTTTTTCTGAAAAATTATATTTAAAAAAAATATTTCTTTAAATAATTTTTACGTAATTTTGAAAAAAAAAAATTGAAATTTTTTTTCATTTAAAAAAAATATTTTTTTAAATAACTTAACTTTTCAAAATTTGGAAAATTTTTTTGAAAAATATTTTTTTTTTAAGGAGTAGTACATCAAATTCTTTTTTAAGAAAAATTCAAATTTTGAACATTTTTATTAAAAATATTTTTTTTAATAAAAAAATATTTTTTAAGAAAAAAATCAATTTTCAATAAAAATTTCAAAAATTTAAATTTTTTCGTAAAAAAGAATTAGATGATCCTTTAAAAAAAATTCTAAAAAAAAAATTTTTGAGATTTTTTCAGAGAATAATTTATATTCATGGAATGAAAAAAATATTTTTAAAGAAAAAAATCAATAATTTGGAAAAAATTAAAAACAAAAAATTCTTTAAAAAAAAAATCAAAATAAAAATTTTAAAAATATATTTTGGGAAAAATTACATTAAAAAAAATAAATTTAAAAATATTTAAGAAATTTTGGAAATAAAATTGAAAATATTCTTTAAGTAAAAAATTTCAAAATAGTTTTTAAGAAATTTATTTTTTTTTTTTTTTTTTTTTTTTTTTTTTTGAAAAATAGTTTTTTTAAGAGAGAAGTATTTTCATTTTTTTTAAATTTCTTAAAAGTTATTTAATTTTTTTTTTTTTAAATGCAATTTTTCCCAAAAAATATTTTCAAAATTTTTATTTTGAAAAGTTATCAAAAATTTTTGGAATATATAAAAAATCGATTTCGATTCAGAATTACAGTCAAAATAGTTTGAACAAATTTTAATATTTTTAATTTTTTTTAAATATTTTTGAAAAAAAAATCATTTTTTTAATATTTTTTATAAATATGCTTGATAGGTTAACAATGTTTTTTTATTTAATTTCAATTCAATAATTAAAGATAAATTAAGCCATCTCAAATTTGTGAAAATAATTATGGCCCAGGTTCGTAAGGAAGCTGGCAAAAAAACATCTTACGAAAAAGATTTTGAACAGGAATTTGAAAAGAGCTTTTTTCTGTTTGAAAAATCTAAAATAAACAATATCAAATTCTTTTTCTAATATTACAATTTGTAAATAAGCATACTCTCTTTTTTTATAACAAAAAAAAACATTTTTTTTAAGTTTATACAAAAAAAAATTGGTCATTATTATTTTCTTTCATAGTGTATATATAACTAAACTTTGTTCAAAAAATATACATATATATCTATAATCCTTATTTTGAAAAAGAAATTATATTTCTTTATACAATATATAATATTACATATATATATATATATATATATATATATAAAATTTATAATAAATTTTAAAAAATATATATAAACATTTTGTTGGCGTGATACCGATGAGGGGAGAAAAACCAATAAAGAGAGAAAAACAAAATAAAACAAGGTTTGGGTTAAATATATTTTCAAACTTTATTTGGAAAGTTAATGAGTTTCGAATGAAACAAAACTTTACCTTAATGCGTGCGTGTTCGATCGAAAGCGAGTTTTAGCAACGAGAGTTAGAATGCAAATTTAAACAACGAAAGTTAGAATGCAAGTTTAAACAACGAAAGTTAGAATGCAAGTGAAGTCGCGGTGAGCAAATGTAGCGTAAACAAGGTCGAGATCACATCGACGACCGTAGCACTGGAAAGTCCTCTCTGCATCCGAACTGAGCGAATGTGACTTCTAGGAGAGAGCGTAGGAAAGAGCGGATACTCTCTCCTACAATCCGAACCAGGCGAATGTGACTCCTAGAAGAGAGCGCAGAGAAGATTCCCCCATTGACTCAAATGAGTGGCCAATTAATGTGAATAATAATTGGTATGCTACGGAAGGGGTGAACAACATATCGAACATATACATTGTCGTAAACAATGTATCGAACCTAAACATTGCCGCCCACCTTGCAGCGCTACAATGCAATGCAACATGAATTAGACTAAATCGCGACTTATTCTAGGTTAGTATTTGCATTGTGAATAAAATGCATCGACAGGTATAGTAGTTCAGTTTTATTGAGCAGGTGCGGATATAAGTCAATTTGAATTATTTATTTTTCGACTACTTTGACAAAAAGAATACACGATTAAGTTATTCTTCACTATTTACAACTAATTTTGTATCTGGTCGACGAACAATTCCTTGTTGGACCTAGTATGATTGCTCATGATGGAGCACAACGAATTAATAAAACTGAATAGGAGCTAAGTATGATTCCATTTTTTTTTGTTTTGATTGATTCCCCTAGTGAGTTTGTAATTGGAGTAACTATTAGAAATGTTAACCAGTGAAGTCTATTGATAAGACTTAGAGGGGAATCGACTATTATTTGTTAATGTGGCGAACGAGGAAGAGCGACTAGATTGATGGCCCGATGCAAGTTGAACAGTATCGAAAGGGATATAGAATTAAGCAAGCCTCTGTGCGAACTAAGAACAAATTCTGTCATATGACAAACGCGACAACGCAAAAACGAGAATGAGATGCCAAAAGGAAGCAGAACACAAAGGAGGAGTGACTTCTAAGAAACTGCTTTAATTTAAAAGCAGACGAAGACATATACAAAACCTTTGACGATATGACACGCTGAATTCGTAAACAACTTCATATCGAATGGCTCGAGTAACTTTTTTTTTTCAAAAAAGAGCAACCATGAAGTCTCAAGAAGATGAAACGATTGATAGCAATACGCATAATTTTAGAGAACCAAATATGGATAAGAAGGCTACGAGGCTGATTTCCACCATGAATGGAAATCGCGTGAACGAATTCTGCAATAATACAAACAATTGGCAAGAAAACGATAATGTAATTGGTTGACGTTCAATCGATGACAGCGATAGAGAATGAGAGCTTTGGGGAGGAGTGAACTGTTCGAAAGCAAAGAAAGATTGGTCAGCAACGAAAATCTACGTAAGCGAGAACTACATTAGGAGAAAAAGCTAAATGAATTTTGACCGGACACAACGACGATAATTCCTCTCACAGAACATGTCCGACGGCGAAGGATGCTTCAATTTGGGAACATATGGAAGTCCCCAAAGTCGGAGTAGTGTTCTGTGGCGAGATTCATCCTCAGCAAAATCCAACGCAGTCCTAAAGACCTGGACTGAGGACGAAGGCATAGGACCAGTCAGAATCCAGCCGAATATCGTGTTTTGGGCTAAGAGGGAACCCAAAACATTTCGTTGCGTCCCTTCCATCAAGATTTGTGGATACAAATCTGCCCCTAATAACAAATCGACAGGTCTAGAATTGAAGAGGTGAGCATCGGCTAAAGGAAGATTGGGCAAGCAAGATGTGAGATTAGAACTAAGGGGCACTGAAGGGAGATTTCCAGATATTTTTGGAAGAACGAAAGCGTTAGCATAAACAGTTAATGAAGAATTGAAGCGAGAACCGATGCGAAATGAACAATTTTTCTTAGAAGTGGCATAGGATGAACTATTTACACCTGAAACGGTGGCCGAAATTGACTGAGTAGGTAGTTGAAGACGAGTTTGCAAGTGTTCAGATATGAAAGAAGCCTCTGAACCAGGGTCGATCAGAGCGCGAACAGGGTACGAAACTCCTAAATGAACTATGTTGACCATAGCAGTACCCAACAAGACATTGCGATTTTGGGATGCGTGGAACACTTGACTATTTAATACTCTAGGACTAGCGACAGTCGATGTTGATGCCACATTGCAATCTACTTGTGGAGTATTGACAAGATTTGTCGCGATAGGATTCGAAGGCCTAGATGATAGAGGAGAACCAATCCTAGACGAGGGGGTAGAACCATTCCGAGACGATTGAGGAGAAGCAGTAGGCCTATGCAACAGAGTATGATGGCGAATTTTGCAAATATTACAGTTATGGATACTGGCACAATTTTTGACGGAATGTCCTACAGAGAGACAATTTAAACAACAACCCTGTTTTTTAGCAACATCAAATCTTTTTTCAAACGAAAGTGTTTTGAATTTTGGACATGAACGTAAAGAATGTGATTCATTTCGACAAAGAATGCAGGTGAACTTTGATTTAGGATTAACCACAGAAGTAGCTACATGGGTTTTGACTTTACTTTTCGAAAGCGGACTAGAAGGAGAACTTCTCATGTCTCGTAAACAAGCTAAAGTTTGAATCCTTTCAGTAAGGAATTTGTTTAAGTCTTCCCACGACGATAGCGAAGATTTGTCTTTTATACTCTGCTCCCACAAAGCTAGAGTTAATTTTGGTAAACGCTGTTGACAAATATATACTAAAATTGGATCCCAGTGATCCGTAACTACATCATAGACTGACATAGCAGAAATGCAGCCGTTGATACCACGCTGTAGAATTTTCAAGTTAGAACTAGATTCAGAATCTAAGACGGGAAGGTCAAAAAGGAGCTTGAGATGGTTATGCACTAGGATACGTTTATTATCGTACGTATCCTTCAACGACTGCCAAGCCATAGCGAAACTTTTATGGGTGAGTGGAAACTTAGACACAATTTCCCTAGCTTCACCTTTTGTTTTCTGAACTAAGTGACAAAGCCTCTCAATGTCACTTAGGCGAGAGTTATTAATAAATATTGCTGAGAACAAGTCCCGGAATGTGGGCCACGACAAGAAATCTCCATGAAATTCATCAATCTCACACGGTGGTAAGTTGAGATTATGCATGGTATTTGAAATGCTAGGTGGCAAACTCCAATTAGAAATCGAAACTTCGGCAGGATTAGGAAAATTGGTTTGAACCATATTTGATGAATTTGGGATATTCCTATTCAAACTATTACTAGAACTATTAAAATCATGAGGAGGCCGATTAGATGCACTACCGATTTGTTGAGGATTTGGAGCTAAAGTAGTTTGCGGTGTGTTAGCATTAAGGACGACAGGAGGTGCAGGAGGAGATTTCACCGACTTAAAATTGTGAATCCTTTCATTGATCTCCGACAAACAATCAGTGAAACTTTGATTAGATGATTGATACTTTGAATCGACAGAAGAGATCTGCTCTGATGTTGTACCCTCTATTGTCAACAAATAGTCAATACACTTGTCGTAAGTGTCCTTGACTTTAGACCATAACTCTTGAAGTTCCGAACTTTGAATTTCAAGGCTAAAAATTGTATGAGTCTCTGGCTTAAGTATATGGTATGAGGCAATAAATTTGACCACATTATCTGAAGCGCGAATAAATTGTGTCAATGGAGTGACCGACATGATTCTATAGAAAAACAAACGATAGCGAAGCAAAAAATTAAAAAATCTATATTTTTACTTTTTGAGGTCGACTAGAACCGAATGTAGGGTACACACAGTCGAATTTGCAATAGTATCGGTGAAAAAAGAGGAAATATAGTCGATAGGAACAACTAAAAACAACAAATTTTGTGAAATTTCCAAAAAAAAGGAACAAAAATTAGGAAAATAATTTGAAAATCGCAATTACCGACAGTAGGGTACACGAAATTTCAAATTATGCTATAATTTTACAGACAAATAATTTTTTTGTAAAAGTAAATATCTATTTTTTCGCAAAAAATTACAAAAAGTTCAATAAAAATTGCCCAAAAAGAGTTTTTAATTAACAACAAATTAATGCTTTGAATGCGCTTGTGAAATGCCGAAAGTAGGGTATTTTTTGGTAAAAGTCCAAAAATCTACAATAGACCAACAAATATAACAACAATTTTTTATTAAATATTTTTTAAAAAATTATTTATAAAAATCCACTATTTTTCATACGGACCCACTGTGCAGTGGTGAACAACGAATACCGCACAAAAGGGAATAAAACACAAGCAGTGTTGAGTGAGCGGCTAACGCACAACAAACAGACCAACGACAACGAATCAACAGAGATGTGTGGGGAGAGCAAGATCTTGTTGGTACGTTTGTTTGTTAGTCGGCTCACACTTAACAAGGCGGCTGGAATGCGAGAATGATATTTGTTGTTGATATCACACGATCAACAAAACAACGAGAACGATCCAACAGTGAGAGTTGGTGAGATGGATATGTTGTTGGTATGATTGAGTGTTAACCAACAGACGCTATAAAAAGGCGCGTGGAATATTATGGTTATATTTATGCAAACAAACGAGAAGAGTGGATGCGATATTAGAATTGTTGGTAGGTTTGAGAATAACAAGGAAAAGTAGAAAAAGGGCAAGAGTAGTATTCGGATTGTTTTTAGTGCTTTTTCTCACTAGTGGCTAGCGGAGTTAACGAGAATGCGGGGGTGTATATGTAGCAATTAGTGAGAAATAACAAATAAGCACTACACAACCGATCACTGGCAAACAAATTATGGCAAGAGTATGAGACAATGTGTGGACTGTATATTTAGGGAAACACGCGTTAAGGCAATTGTAGGGCGACCAGTACGTGACGTAGCGAAATAAGTAGCAACAAATGGAATATTTACTTTTTTGTAAAGCGAAATGTAAAAACGAAAACACTCGCGATATGCTCAATATAAAAGAAACTGAACTACGTACCTTTGAGTTTATGATGTTGTTTTTGATGTTGATGATGATGAGGTGTTGTGTTTGGTGAGGGGTGATGATATTTTTCTCCTTTGAAATAGCGAAAAGTGTGAAATTGTTGGTAGATTATCCGACTTGATGGGATCAAAATGCAACAACAATGCTTATTTTATCCGGCTCGAACGGATCAAAATGTTGGCGTGATACCGATGAGGGGAGAAAAACCAATAAAGAGAGAAAAACAAAATAAAACAAGGTTTGGGTTAAATATATTTTCAAACTTTATTTGGAAAGTTAATGAGTTTCGAATGAAACAAAACTTTACCTTAATGCGTGCGTGTTCGATCGAAAGCGAGTTTTAGCAACGAGAGTTAGAATGCAAATTTAAACAACGAAAGTTAGAATGCAAGTTTAAACAACGAAAGTTAGAATGCAAGTTTAAACAACGAAAGTTAGAATGCAAGTGAAGTCGCGGTGAGCAAATGTAGCGTAAACAAGGTCGAGATCACATCGACGACCGTAGCACTGGAAAGTCCTCTCTGCATCCGAACTGAGCGAATGTGACTTCTAGGAGAGAGCGTAGGAAAGAGCGGATACTCTCTCCTACAATCCGAACCAGGCGAATGTGACTCCTAGAAGAGAGCGCAGAGAAGATTCCCCCATTGACTCAAATGAGTGGCCAATTAATGTGAATAATAATTGGTATGCTACGGAAGGGGTGAACAACATATCGAACATATACATTGTCGTAAACAATGTATCGAACCTAAACACATTTTTTTATTTTATTTTTTTTTTTTTAATTACAAATTCTAAACTAATAAAAAAATTTTTTCAAATAAAAAAAACTTTTTTTTTTTGTTTTTAGTATTGCAAATTTCTAGCTGTATGGTGTATGGGTATTGATGTGCATGTGTGTGCTTTTTGGTTATGAATTTCCAAAAACGGCCATGCTTCACTGGTCCGACAATCACGACGACGACTAAGACTTGACGACATCATCATTAGGCGGCATATTTCATTTCATTCCTCTTCACTCACTTTCGTTCATTCATATTTCGTTATGAAATCGTAACGCAATACGCTGGCTGGCAATATATCACCAGCATTGGCTTCAGTTTTAGTTTCGGTGCGTGCCGGTAAATGCACAAGTACATCGGCTCCAACAATACTTTGCAAGCGGCTACTCATCTATTGGGGGGTTGCATTCATTGCGTTCAGCGGTTGGGTACACGGTTGGTTGGTTTGGCCAAAGCGAAAGTGTTAACAGAAATAACAACAACAAAAATGCATTTAATTAAAAATATAAATTGAAGGGAGTTTTGAAAATAAAAAAAATCAACAACAAACCTGATTGCCGGTAATCGAAGCATAAAGTTGACCATTACGGCTGGTGATTGTGGCACGCATATATTCAGGTCGGGGATCCAATGGTACACTTTGATTTTCCAGCTAAAAGAAAAATTAAAAAAAAAATTGTGAAAAAAATATAAGAAAAATTTCAAATACCAAAAAAAAATATTTAAAATATATTAATATATTTAAAAATATTTAAAATTTAAAATTTTTTATATAAAAAAATTGAAAATTTTTTATAAAAAAAATTGAAAATTTTTTATGAAAAAAAATTGAAAATTTTTTATGAAAAAAATTTTTACTTTGAAATTGAAAATTTTTATAAAAAAAGAAAATTTTTCTACGAAAAATTAGAACCCAGAAACAGTTTTGTTCGATTTTTTTTAGGATACGAAGTATTCATGTAGTAAAGGCTATAGATGATAATGCTGTACCTTAATTACAATTTATACGGAAGGAGAGAGGTATATCGAGTATAGAGTAATTTTGGGGCAAACCCTAAATATCAAATTTGAACGAATTCGTTTGAAAAATGCACCCAAAATTATTAAAATATCGAAATTTTGGAGGTTATATTCTTTGGGGGCCACCAGAAAAAGTGCATCAATATTCATAGTTTTTGGTAAGAGAATGAGAACCCTAAATAAGAAATTTTGAACCAATTCGGTTGAAAAATGTGTCCAAACTCACCAAAATATCGAAATTTTGGAGGTTATGTTCTATGAGGACCTCCCTAAAAATTATACGAATTATGATAATTTTTGGTAGGGAGATTATCCACCCTATGAGAACCCTAAATATCAAATTTGAACCAATTCGGTTGAAAAATGTGTCCAAACTCACCAAAATACCGAAATTTTGGAGGTTATGTTCTATGGGGGCTACCCTAAAAATTATACCAATATTCATAATTTTTGGTAGGAAGATTTGGCACCCAACAAGAACCCTAAATAACAAATTTGAATCAATTCGGTTGAAAAATGGGCAAAAAACAATAAAATATCGAAATTTTGAAGGTTATGTTGTATGGGAACTACCATAATAAATAGACCAATGTTTTTTTTTTTTTGGTATGGAGATTTTTTGGTATGGAGATTTTCTACACAATGAAAACCCCAAATAACAAATTTGAACGAATTCGATTGAAAAATGAGTCCAAAATACCGAAATTTGGGAGGTTATGTTCTATGGGAGCCATCCTAAAAAGTGCACCAATATTCAAAATTTTTCGTAGAAAGATTTGACACCCAAGAAGAACCCTATCTATGAAATTTGAACCAATTCGTTTGAAAAATCTGTCCAAACTAACCAAAATACGGAAAATTGGGAGGTTATGTTCTATGGGGCCACCAGAAAAAGTGCATGAATATTCATAATTTTTGGTAAGAAGAATTGGCACTCAATGAGAACCCTAAATATGAAATTTGAACGAATTCATTTGAAAAATGCACCCAAAATCAATAAAATATCGAAATTTTGGAGGTTATGTTATAGGGGTGCCACCCTAAAAATTATACGAATTATTATAATTTTTTGGTGTGGAAATTGTCCACCCTATGATAACCCAAAATAACAAATTTGAAATAATTCGGTTGAAAAATGTGTTTAAACTTTCCAAAATACCGAAATTTGGAAGGTTATGTTCTATGGGGGCCACCGTAAAAATGTTACCATTATCTCTAATTTTTTGTAGGGAGACTTGACACCCAATGAGAACGCTAAATATCTAATTTGAGACAATTCGATTGGAAAAAATGCCAAAAAAATCCCCACAATATCCCAAAATCTGAAATCTGACTGGTACCTTTGTATGGGAGGTACCCGAAAAAGTAAACTAAAATCGATCATTTTTGGTAGAAAGATTTACTACCCAGTGAGAATCCAAAATACCAAATTACAGTCATTTTGATGTAAAAATGTGCCAGAAATCCTCAAAAATCTTAAATCTGACTGGTACCTTTGTATGAGAGCTATTCGAAAAAGTGGACCAAAATTGAAAATTTTTGGTGGGCAACCTTGACACCAAATGAGAATTCAAAATACCAAATTATAGCCAATTTGGTTAAAAAACTAGCCGAAGCTCCCCAATTTAACTAATTTCCGGAGGTACCTTTGTATAAGAGCTATCCTAACAAGTGGACCAAAATCGATAATTTTTGGGAGGAAAATTTTCTATCCTATGAGCATCCAAAATACCAAATTACAGTCCAATCGGTTGAAAAAGTCCCCAATATACCGATATTTTTGAGATACCCGTATATGGGGGCTACCCTAAAAAATGGACCAATACTGAACATTTTTGGTAGTAAGTTTTACTACCCAATCCGTATTAAAAATACAAAATTACAGGCAATTTGGTTGAAAAGCGTGCAAGTAATTCCCAGAAAACAGAAATTTCGAAGGTACCCTTCTATGGGAGCTACCCTAAAATGTGGACCAAAATAGGCAATTTTTGATAGGAAGATTTACAAGCCAATGAGAATTCAAAATATCTAATTTTAGTCAATTCGATTGAAAAATGTGTTTAAAATTTCCAAAATACCGAAATTTACGAGGTTAGGTTATATGAGAGCTACCCGAAAATGTGGACCAATGCTGCTAATTTTTGGTAGGCAGATTTTTTACCCTATAAGAACCCAAAATACTTAATTACAGTCAATTTGTTTTTTAATAAAGTCTTTGGACCTCTTTTCCATTGTCACCCTTGTGTTTTCGAAGTCGGATTTCCTTTTTCGAAGAGGAGAAATGTCTGTTGTCATGCATTCATGTCCCCAAAAAACCCCATTAACTTACAATGACTTGCACCACTGGCAACATACACTTCTCCTGGGTCCAACCGGAACACCAACGAACCGCAGGCAAGGCAAATAAATGGAAGCATACAAATGCCGAGACCGGATTGCCGGGTAAACCAAAGAAATATTTATCACCCTTGGCGGCAAAGGTCATGGGTTTGCTATATAAAAAAAAAAGAAAATTTAAATTACAAAAAACCCCATCGGTATTCAGAACTACAAAAGCCTTACCCTGGTTTCATATTGACACGTCCGACCAGCAATTCAAAACCCAATTTTTGCAACACCGGTTTAATGTAATCCTTATCGCCCATTGACACACCACCACTGCAGATAACAAAATCGACTTCATCATAAATGTTGCTAAGGGTTACGGAGACCTCATCGAAACTGTGGGGAAAAATTATGGGAATGGTTTTAAGGTTTCATTTCCAAATTCATTGACATACTCATCGGATAAAACTTTCGTTACGAAACACTCAAAGCCGAAATATTGCAATAGCTGCCTCAGCATGGTGGTATTGGAATCATAGATTTTACCCTCAATGGGGTAGTCTTGAGGATCCAAAAGTTCACTGCCCGTTGAGATGACCGCAACCAAGGGTTTGTGAAGCGGCACTGCATGGCCCACCGAGGCCATAAGCGATTTCACCACCACGGGTGAGAGATCAACACTGGGGAAAAGGGGAGAATTTTTGGATAAGTCACATCCTACGGGCCTGAGGAAGGAGATAGAGAAAGAAAATTAATTTAAAATTTTGAATAGGAAATTTAAAACCTCACCTTATATCCAAATCCTTTTTCGGATCAATTAAAATTTCCACCAAATCCTCCTGGCCATCTTTTTTAGTTTTCAATAACTTGGTATCCTCAATTTGTATCACACAATCAGCCTGCAGCGGCACCGGAGCCCCAGTATTGATTTTATAACATTCATCCTCTGCAAAATCTTCCGTAATTATAGAATCTCCTGCAGCTATATAACCTATGACCTTTTTGGTACCAGAAAATCCTGAAGATTTCATGGCATAACCATCTTTAATGGAGGCCCTGAAGGGTGGTATATCAACGGGAGATTTAAAATTCTTTAGCAGATTCGGCAGGGTCTCCTGGGTCTTAATTGTTTTCAATATCAAATTCAAGGTTTCGTTTACTGGCAGCATGGGATAGGGAGAATTACGATCTGTGGCATCACCTTTACCCGTTTTGTGGGGACAGACATGGGGCACACTGGGCGCAGGGGCTGCTCCCGAACCCTGCAATTGCTCATGGGTTTTGCGTACCAATGCCAAATCATTATTAATCAAATGCAATGCATGCGGCAATAGATCCTTTATATAATCGAAACATTCCACCACAGCCTTTTCACTTCCGGGCAGATTGACAATTAACGTCTTACCCGCAATGCCACAAACACCCCGAGATAGGGCAGCAAATTTGGTTTTTTGCAAAGAATGCATACCAATGGCCATGGCAAGCTGAGGGCATTCTTTGTCCAAAACTTCTTTGGTTGCCTCGGGGGTAACATCTCGTGCGGCAAAGCCTGTACCACCGGTTGTCAGAATACAAGCTGTGGAAATCTCGGGCGACGACAGTTGCAATAATTTTTGTTTTATTAATTCCCTTTCATCGGGTAGAATTTCTTTTAGTATGCGGGGATTTTCAAAATGTTCGGCAATTAGTTGGGCCAGGCGAGGACCACTACGATCTTTGGTGGCATCTTCATGGCAGGTGTCACTGACTGTAAATAGGGTGAATTATTAATAAAGAAGGGTGGTATATAATCGGATTTAGAACTTACTGGTAATAACAGCAAAAACAATTCCAGAATCCGACATTGTCTCCCAAACAAGAGGTTATCAGTTTCTCGAGATCAAATTGGTTTCAAATAACAAGATTCTGTGTAAGGGGCAATTGGAACTATTTTCAATTTCCAAATGGAGGAGGTGGAAGATGATACTGACCAATACCACGGTTTTGTTTACGAATGAGTGTGTAATGCAAGCGACATGATAACAGCTGTGAAAAGCAGGTGATAATAAGGTTATGTCCAATATAGAAAAAATAAATACTTTTTTTTGGTTTGAAGCCGATATTTTGTTATAATTACTGCATATACCGATTTCTCTTGTTTGGAGACCCATAGTGAAATTTTGTGGAGAATCTTTTCCCATTTATACGATTACCAAAAAATGTTTCCTTTTGTGAAAAATTTTGGAAATTAGACAAAATATACGCCAAAAAACGTCAATTTTATGCATACAAGCTGTTACCGATATTTCGGCTTTTTAAATACATTTTTCCGAGTTCTCTTGTTCGGCGGCCCATAGTGGAATTTTATGGAGAATATTTTTTCCATTGATACCATCACCAAAAAATGATTCCTTTTGGGAGACATTTGGTCATTTCGGAAATAAGATAAAATATTCACCCAAAAGAAGTCCGTTTTATGCATACAAGTTTTTTTTTACCGACATTTCCGCTTTATAAATACATTTTTCCGAGTTCTCTTGTTCGGTGACCCATAGTGGAATTTAATGGGGAATCTTTTTCCCGTTGATACCATCACCAGAAAATGACTACTTTTGGGAGAAATTTGGACATTTCGGAAATAAGACAAAATATACACCCAAAAAACTTCAGTTTTATGCATACAAGTTTTTACCGATATTTCGGCTTTATAAATACATTTTCCGAGTTCTCTTGTTTGGTAACCCATAGTGAAATTTTATGGAGAATATTTTCTCTATTGGTATCATCTCCAAAAAATGCTTCCTTTTGGAAGAAATTATGCCTAATTGATTTTATCCTCCAAAATACAACACTAAATTAATTATTTATTAATTAATTAGTTTTATTACGATATTTTATTATTATATAGTGTATATACCGATTTCTTTTATTCGGTAACCTATAGTGAAATTTTATGCGGAATATTTTTCTTATTAATACCATCACCAAAAAATGGATCCCTTTGGGATAAATTTGAGAAACTGGAAAAACAAAATGTGCACCCGTTAACAAAAATAATATAAATTTTATTCATACACGTTTTTATATCGATATTTTGGTTATATATAATATATATTCCGATTTCTCTTGTTCGGTAATCTATACTGAAACTTTGTGGCGAATCTTTTTTTCATTAATATCATCTCCTAATAATGCTTTCTTTTGCAAGAAAATGGGCCAAATTAGAACATGTCCAAAATAAAAGCCATTGTACATCATATGTTTATAAATGCCATTTGACATTAATTTTTTCGTGATGTTTTTTATATAGATAGAGAATCGGTTTGTTTGGAGACCCCTAGTGAAATTTTATGGAGAATATTTTCTCCATTAATACCTTACCCAAAAACTGAGCAAATGTGGCACAAAATAACCTAAATTGAAAAACATTCCAATAAATAACATATTTTGTTTGTATGCAAGTTATTTAGCCTGCTTAGCTACTGGAAGAAAGAAAAAATCCATTTGAAAATCCACGTCTAATACTTTGCTATTGGGACAGGGAATGTTATTTAGAAATCCGTGCCTATACAAATTCGCGACAATTGCATTGCTATTTGCTATTAAATCCCTAAAAATCCATGCCTACTGCTTAGATATTAGGTCCGAAAATACCCAAGCCTAATATCCGAAAATACCCTAAAAACCAAGCCTATTATTATGTTATTTGATTGGAAGATATCCCTTAAAAATCCACGCCTAATAGTCCGCTAATTAATTAGAAAATATTCCTTAAAAATCCACGCCTAATACTTTGATATTTGATCAGAAAATATCCTTAAAAAATCCAAGCCTAATATTCCTCTGTTTGATTAGAAGTTATTGTTAATAAATCTACGCCTAATATTCTGCTATTTAATTAGAAAATATTGATAATAAATCCATGCCTAATGTTCTGATATTTGATTATAAAATATCCTTCACAAATCAACGCCAAATATTCTGCTATTTGATTAGAAAAAATCCTCAAAAATACACATGCCTTATATTCTGCTATTCGATTCGAAAATATTATTAATAAATCTACTCCTAATGTTCTGCTATTTGATTAGAAAATATTGTTAATAAATCCACGCCTAATAGTCTGCTATTTAATTAGAAAATATTGTTAATAAATCCATGCCTAATATTCTGATATTTGCTTTGAAAATATTGCTAATAAATCCACGCCTAATAGTCTGCTATTTAAGATGTCCCTAAGATTCCATGCCAAATATTCAGCTATTTAATTAGAAAATGTTGTTAATAAATCTACGCCTAATATTTTGCTATTTTATTAGAAAATATCCTTAAAAGTTCCATGCCTTATATTCTGCTATTTAATTAAAAAAATGTTATTAATAAATCCACGCCTAATATTCTGCTAATTGATTAGAAAATATCCTTAAAATATCCACGCCTAATATTCTGCTAAATATCCACGCCTAGTATTCTGCTATATAATTAGAAAATATTCTTAAGAAATCAGCGCCAAATATTCTGCTATTTGATTAGAACATATCCTTAAAAAGCCTACCCTAATATTTTGATATTTTATCAGAACATGTCCTTACACATTCCACACCTAATTCTTTTCTATAGGGACAGAAAATATCCTTAAAAAATCTACGCCTAATACTTTGCTACTGGGTCAGAAAATATCCTTAAAAATCCACGCCTAATATTCTGCTAATTGATTAGCAAATATCCTTAAAAAACCCAAACCAAATATTGTGACATTTAATCAGAAAGTAAGCTTAAAAACCCACGCCTAATGATCCTCTATATCTTCTGAAAATATTCTTTTAAAAATCCACTCCAAATTTTCTATATTTTCACGAATAATACCTAAATTTAACAAGAAATCGAATACCCATTCGTTAATCAAATACCTGTGACTAGTTCCATTATTCCATCTAGTGAACACTTGAATAGTGAACAAACATAGCAACAACACTGAGGCATTTACAAAGCCAGTGTCCCATTATTTCCAAAGAAAAAAAAATTACCAAGAAAAATCACTCGCAACATGAGTGATTTAACAAATTCCAAACCCTATGAGGTAACCCCGTAACTTCCAATCACCCAAAATTCTAAAGAACCAACCTCTTCATTACAGAACCATTTGCTTAACAATGTCATTACGAACAATGCCAATATCAATGATGAAAATCTCTCGCCTGGACGTCGCAATTTACGCAGATGGTTAGGAAAACCATTTCGTGTGGTTATTACCGATGGTCGGGTACTTGTGGGTTTCTTTAATTGTACCGATAAAGATTCCAATATTGTTTTGTCCATGTGTGCCGAATATCTAGAAGAGGGTGAAGAATCACCACGGATTTTAGGCAATGTCATGATACCCGGTAAACACATAATCTCCGTATCCGTGGATCTGCCAAACGATGAGGTATATGCCGTGCCACCAGTAAAAGTCTAGTCAAAATTATTTCCCTTTTTTACTCAAAAACAATCATCTTTTTATTATTAAAAAATAAAAAATTACAGTAACAAAACTATAATAGAAAAAAAACAGTAAATATGCGGTCTAACTTATTTCTTAGATTCTTTGGTATGTTCCTCCAGTGGATCAACACCCTGTTCCATTTTTTGTTTAAACTGTTCATAGGTACGTTTGCGATCGAAATGTTTCACCCAGGTGCCGGGGCAACTGGTCTCGAATAGTTTGCGTAGTTTTTTACATGCGTCCGGTACCTTTTCGCCGGAGGTGGAACTATGTTGTGGGGCATTTTCACTTAGACACTTCCAGTAATCGTCACGGGCACCCCAGCATTTAGTCCGTTCTTCTTTGTTAAGGAAACTCATTGTGCCTTCTTGTTATTATTTACAATTTTTTAATATTTTCTTAAATAAATGCTTGTGTTGGGCAGAATTATCGGCAAAGTTGCATAAATACTCGAATAAATATGGGAAACATATGATTTGTATTAACAAAACAGCTGTTCGGGAGGCAGGGTTGTTTTCTAATAATTTTAATAACAAACAGGGTTGTATTTGAAACAAAATGACAAAATTGGGATGATAGGATTTAAAGTTTGTACTTTACACGCCTAAAACTTTGCTATAGGTTCGGGAAATATTCTTTAAAGATCCACGCCAAAAGCTTTGCTATGTATGTCTGGAAATATTTCACCAAAGCTTTCCTATGGGTATCTGGAAATATTCTTAAAAAAAATCCTTAAAAAATACAAGCTTCTTGAAATATTCTTTAAAAATACACGCCTAAAGCTTTAATATGGGGTTTGGGAAATATTTTTTAAAACATCCACGCCTAAAGCTTTGCTATGGCTTCTGGAAATATATTTTTTTAAAACATCCACGCTGAAAGCTTTGCTATGTGGTGTGGAAATGTATTTAAAAATTCCACGCCTAAAGCTTTGCTGTGGGTAATGGAAATATTCTTTAAACAAATTACGCCTAAAGCTTTGCTTATAAAAATTAAGGCTAAAAACTGTCAACGTCTTTCTAGAAATTATGAAAAAAACTCCTAAAGCTCTGAAGTCTTTCAAAAATCCAAGCTTAAAACTCTTAATATATTATTAAAGCTCGCAATGTTTTCCGTAGAAAAAATCCTCAATTAAATATTTTCCGTAAAATTTTTCTAAAAATCCATGCTCAAACCTCTGATAGCTATTCATAAAAATTCCCTACTAAAGTCTTAAAAAATTCTCCATAAAAGACTTCTTCAAAAAATCTTCGCTTTAAAAATGTTCCATAAAAATTTCTTTTACAAATCTCCCCTTAAATAAGTCTCCATAAAATGTTTTGTAAAAAATCTCTCTAATCTCTTTTCAAATAACTCTACATAAAAATTGTATGTAAAAAAATAATCTTTAATAATTCTCCACAAAAGCTTTCTTTACAAAATTCATTTAAAAAAGTCTCCATAAGTGTTCTTATATAACTCTACATATAATGTTTTCAGTAAAAAATCCTCACTTTAATAATTCTCCACAAAAGCTATATTTAAAAATTTCAGGCTTAAATTTCGAAATCTGGTTTGGGAAATATTCTTTAAAAATTTATAAAAATTTAGGCGTAAAGCTCTTAAAGTCTTTCAAAACATATTAAAGAAAATCCAAGATTAAAGCTCACAAAGTCTCCTTATAAAAATTTTAATATTAATAATTCTTCATACAAATGTATTTAAAAAATCCTTGCTTAAAAAGTCTCCATAAATGTTTTCTGTAAAAAAACTTTCTTTGATAACTCCCCAGAAAAGTTTACTTTAAAAAATCCCAATTTTAATAAGTCTCCATAAGTCTTTTCAAATAACACTACATAAACCGTTTTCACTTTAAAAGTTCTCTACAAAAGCTTTCTTTAAAAATTCAGACTTAAATCCAATAAAATATTTATAAAAAAATCTACTAAAAAAAACATTCTAAAAGTCATTTTTATTAAAATTATCCCCAAATAATTCTCCATAAAATTTCCTTAACAAATACACACATAAATAAATCTCCACAAAAAGTTTTCTGTAAAAATGTCCATCCTTAAAATGATTTAAAAAAATCCACGCCCAAATAATTCTCCATATAAAGCTTCTTTAGAAAATTATCCATTTAAATAACTCTCCATAAAAATCTTCATTAAAAAATCCAAATCCTCCTGTATTTAGCAAATCCACCCATAAATAAGTCTCCACAAATAGTTTTCTTTAAAAATATCCACCTTCAAATCCACGTTAAAAGTCTCCATACAAGGCTTCTTTAGAAAATTCTCCATTTAAATAACTCTCTATAAAAATCTACATTAAAAATCCAAAATCCTCAAATAATTCTCCATAATTTTGTGTTACACAAATCTACCCCATAAATAAGTCTCTATAGAAGTTATTCACAAAAAGATCCTCATTTTAATAATTCTACATAAAATATTACTTAAAAAATGATGCTTAAATGAGTCTCCATAAGACTTCTTGAAAAAATTGAGGTTTTAGTAACTCTACATAAAAGTATTTATTAAAAATCCACGCTTAAATGATTCTCCATTAAAGCGTTCTTTAAAAAATATGTCTTTTAAATAAATCTCCTTAAAAATTTACATTAAAAACCGGCCTTAAACAATCCTCTATATAAATCTTAAAAAAATCCAATAAATAATTCTCCATAAATTGAACCTCTTCATTAACTCAAATGCTGTATTCATTGAAATGAACTAGTGAACCAATGATGTTGATTACAAAGCTGATTTAAAGGCATAGTCTTTAGGATATTGTGAACCTAAAGATCCTCTAACTCTACTATATAACAAATCGTTCTCCATCACATATAATTCTCTAAAAAATCTTAAATAATTCCCTGTTAAATAATTTTACCTCAATTGGACGCAACAAATCAATCAAATCCTGTATTCACTTAAATGAATTAGGGATCTAGTGAGTGATTGATATATGTTTCATACAGTGCTGCCAAGTAAGTAACTGATGTCATATTCTTGAGGATATTTATTGTAAGTTAAACGACTGTTATCCATTATCCCGACCACATATAACAAATATTTCTCCACAAAATAAATCCGGCCTTAAATAAATTCCACAAAAGCCTTTAAAACATCCTCTAACAATTCAAATATAAATTGAACGTATCAAACAATCCAAATGTTGTATTCACTGAAATGAACTAATGACCTAGTGAGCGTTTGATGTCTGTTTATTACAATGCTGCCAAATAAATATTTAAAGGCATAATTTTAAGGATATAGTTTTACAAATTAAACGACTGTTATCCTTTGATGCGACCAAGTAACAAATAATTCTCCCATAAAAAATTCGGCCTTAAATAATTCTCCACAAAAGCCTTTTTTAAAAAAATCCTCTCTTTAATAATTCAATCATAAGTTGAACGTATCAAACAATCCAAAGGTTGTATTCACTAAAATGAACTAGTGACCTAGGGAGTGTTTGCTGTTAGTTTATTGCTATGCTGCCAAGTAAATATTCATATGCAGGCATATTCTTAAGGATATTTTTTGTATATTAAACGACCGTTATCCTTTAGCCCCACAAAAGTCGATAACCACAAAAATATATCGATTAATCTTTATTTAAACTTTCGATTATTTATCCTTTACAGAACATGCAATTTTTATCTTCCAACATTTACAGTAGTTATGTTGAACGAATCATGGAGATAGGACACGGAAATCATACGGTCACGCTTGTTTTGACTAGCACAGATACATTTTAGATATCCATCCTGCCAGGAAAGAAGGAAAAAACATACTAACAAAGGATAAGTGAAAAAAGATACTAGCCAAAATACAAGGAAATTCAATTATGTTAATAAAATATAAGTGAAAAATATTAAAAAAGGATATAAATTAAATTTGTGTTTGAAAAAAAATCTCCACTGGAGAAAAATAAAAAAGGTGTCAACAATTTTTTTCCACCCATAAAAGGGAAAAACAAAAGCAAAGGATGAGCACGAGTTACAAAGGAATTTCTTCGCCAAAACGTTTGTTTCGTTAAGTTTGTGTTGTTGTTGTCGTCGTTGCCGCCGCTTCGTAAAATAGGGTGGGAAAAAATGTGCCACTACTGACCGTACCCACAGTAATTGTGGCTTGTCTGTGTTTCGGCAGCGTTGACGCTTTACGGTTGTGTTGTCTCCGGGCTTCCCAAAATAATAAAAAAAAACACAAATCTTTAGCTTTAGCACAACAAACATCCTTAATGTCCTGTGTTGTACCAGGTCCTTTTTTGTCCAGTTTCCTGCCAAACTAGTTCGGAATAATTTCAAAACACAATGTGAAACCAAATGAAAGTAAAAGTAAACGGAAATAAAACAAAATAATAATAAAAAAAATACAAAAAAGGAAGAAAAGCTTTAATCAAGGTACATGGAAATGTATCCAATAATCCTAAACATAAATATGTAAATGTGAAAAAATATATGTGAGTGTGTGTAAATTTTATTTCCTTAAGTTCCTTCAACGTGAATTTTTAACTCGCAATTTATAAACTAAAAAAAAAACAAAATCCCCCATAACTAATAAATATCCGCAAACATGAGTTCCGTAGACTCGGTATTTGTTTATGAACATCCCGAACATCCGGAAATCCATAAAATGGATTGGCAATTTTTCATAAAAGTAAGTAGAGAAAATTAAATTGAAATAATAATACAAATAAAAACAACAAAAACATCAGCATCATTACCATTATCCTTGGCATCTTCATCATCATCATTACACAATGTGACACTTGTGACAATTCACTTGGGAAGTCAGAGAGTAATGATATTAATCACAAATTTTAAAAAAGGGTATTTGAGAGAGAGAGAGAAAAGGAGTGAACGAGAGAGCGTTGAAATATATCATCAGTAAAATAAAACAGGGTCAAGGATAATTTCATATATATTCCCATTGTTGTAAACATGATTTATATACCAGAAAAAAAAACAAAAACAAACGTATGGCAACATAGTTAACTGACAGCTGGACGACAGCATATACATAACGGTAATTGTGTAATTTATATGTGACTTTTGTTTATATGTCATTCACAAGGCAAAAAAAAAAAAAACAGAGTTGCTTAATTAAGTCAGATGATCTACAGCTGTAGGAGACTAAATTAAAATTAAAATGTCGTATGACAGTTAACAAAATTTTGACAGATGATTTCTGTGGGCTTCAACTTTTAATTTTTTTTATTTCATTAATATCCATCCATTAATTCTTATGTTATGGTCCTTAAAAATAATATGGAAATATCGTCCCAAATTTGCAAATTATAAGTCCTTGGGAATTTTCCCCCTTTAGGGGCTATGCTAATAAGACATATTTCATTTAAAAGAGTGAATACCTTTCATTATTTGGTTATTTAATCAAAATCAGTCAACTATTTCCGAAGTTATGGGTCTGAGAAATAATTATCGAAAAATTTCAAAAAAAAAATTTGGTAATAGCGAAATTTCCCCTAAATCTTTAATATTTTATTGGCTAGACCTTTTGACAATTACTTCAACTTAAAGAGTGGATATTACCCTTTCATAATTGGGGAATTTCATAAAAATCCGCTAACTAATTAAGAAGTTATGGGCCTGGATGTGATTACAGAAAATCGACCAAAAATTACAACTTTTAAGTAATTGGGTATTCGGCACGATATCTATGACATTTTATTGGTTCAATACAACAAAACATATTTCAAAATAAAGAGTAGATATTTCCCGTTGATATTTGCGATATTTTATAAAAATCGACCAACTACTTTAGATGTTGAGGGGAGGAGAATATGATTACGAAAAATTGGACAAAAATTACAAATTTTAAGTAATCGTGAAATTTTCTTCATATCTTTGATATTTTAATGGATAGGCTCTTGAAATTAATTTCAACATTTAAGTAATTGTGAATTTTTCAATATATCTACGACATTTTATTGGTTCAATGTAACAGAATATATTTTAAAACAAAGATCAGATATTTCCCTTTCATATTTTGGTGTATCTCATAAAAATCGAGCAACTACTTTAGAAGTTATGGGCCAGAGGATATAATTACGAAATGTGGACCAAAAATTAAAAATTTAAAGTAATTGTGAAATTTTTCCGAAATCTTTGGTATTTTATTGGCTAGGTCCTTGAAATCAATTTTAACTGAAAGAAATGCCTCATTCATAATTGGGTTATTATATAAAAATCGACCATCTACTTTAGAAGTTATGGCCATTAGAAAGTAAGTTCGGAAAAGCGACCATATATTACATCTTTTAAGTAATTGTGATTTTTACCCGATATATATGATATTTTTTTAGCTCTATATAGAAAAATATATTTCAATATAAAGAACAGATATTTATCTTTCATAATTCACAAACTTCATCAAAATCGACCCACTACTTCAGAAGTTATAGCCCTGTGAAATTGATTACGAAAAATCGACTAAAAATTTATCTTTTAAGGTATTTGTGTATTTTTAACGATGTGCCATACATTTTATCAATCCTATCCATATACATTACTTTACTGCGAAAAATGGATATTCCTCTTTCATAATTGGTATATTTGATCAAAATCGACCCACTACTTCAGAAGTTATAGGCCTGAGAAAGTGATTACGGAAAATTGATTAAAATTGCCAAATTTTAAGTAATTGCGTATTTTTGAGGATATCTCAGGTATTTGATTAGTTACATCTGTGGAACATATTTAAATATATACTATGGACTTTCTTTTATATAATCAGGATATTTTCTTAATAAAATCTATTCACTATTTCCGAAGTTATGGGCCAAAGAAATAACTTTCAATGCAAATATGTCAAAAAAGGGTCAGGAAATCTATACCACGGTCAGGCAAAGAACCGGTTTTTACGTTCTTTTTACATAATTTACTCTCAAAGAGAGACAGCGTGCGGGGAGAGACAGAGCCTGATGCGGATCTATTCTAATGTTCATCGGTCATTGAATTTTTAGTTCTTTTGTTATTTGCTGATTCCTGGAAATAATCTTGGATTGGCTGTCAACGATGGAGCGGAAATGTTCATAAGTTCCATACTATCATGGGATTTATTTCGCTCTACACATCGATCTCCAGATTTCTTCATGTTGATATTATTTTAAAAATTTTCCGGCGATGTCCACAGCAAATTGAAACCCCCTCTTTTGTATTCGGGGGTTTTCAAACTTTATTTACAGCACTTCACACTTTTTAACTGAGACGACAATACTTTACAGACTGAGAGCACGACACTTTATAAGCTGAACATATACTTGACAACTGAGAGCACGACACTTTGCAACTGAGAGCTTTTACTTATACCTGAGACAATTTCTCTATGATACAACCTATTTTATATGCTTGGCGCTTATTCTAGATTATTCTATTCTAGATAATTCTAATTCTAGTTCATTGTAATCAAGATCTATTAATAAGGTCACCAAGATAGCAATCGAAATCGGAAAACAGCTGTTTTTTTCTCAAGTCTAATGTCAAAAATTTCGACTTTGTTTACGTTTTCATAATGGAAGTCAATTCTAATTCAGCAAACTTGAGAGGTTCATTGTAATGATTACTTATGTGTCTATTAAAAGTAACCATGAATTATATCTACATCTTATTGTAACTGATCACTGTAGGGATCTCTAATTACTGTCAAATATATGTGTTGCCAATTGCATAATTCACAATATTTAACACTTCATTTTGTTAAGCATTTCTGAGTTGAATTTTATTTCAAGATGCAAGACCGATTCGCATATGCATTTTTTGTTTGTTGGTTTTTTTTCCTATACCACTACTTCAGAAGTTATGGCCCTGAGAAAATGATTACAAAAAATCGACTTCAATATATCCTATTTCACCGTAAAGATTGGACATTCCGCTTTCATAATTGGGATATTTCATTAAAATCGGTCCACTACTTCAGAAGTTGTGGCCCTGAGAAAATGATTACAAAAAATCGACCAAAATATGCACATTTTTAGTAATTGTGAATTTTTGAGGATATCTCAGGAACTTTATTAGTTACATCTGTGGACCTTATTTCAACGTGACGTATGGAATTTCCTCTTGCATAATCTGGATATTTTTATCAAAATCTTTCCACTATTTCCGATGTTATGGCCCGTAGAAATAACTTTAAATGCAAATATGTCAACATAGTTTCAGAAACTCTTCTGAGCCGATCAAGTCCACTAAACGGCGTATTTTCATGGTTTGGGCATCGGCGTTTCCTCTTCAAAATCATTTTTTTTTCTTTTTATTTCATTTTACTCGTTCCAATCAGTCACCAAAGATAGGGGACCCTAGTTCTTCGATTCTTGACTTTCTAGTTTCTTTTGTTGAGGCTGATTTCTGATTATTGGATTGGCAGCCATTCATGAAATGGGAATGTCAAGGTCCATACTATGTTGGGATTTTTTGTGCTCTACTCATGTAGGATAACCTAAAAGTGTTGAGCGTGGGACATAACCCTTAAAATGCAGCAATACGAACATTCAAGCCGATAACTGAATTTCTTCCTTATTTTGTATTTTTGAGTTAGCCTTTATTTCAAGAATTAAGATCGATTCTTAGATGCATTTTTTTGTTTGTTGGTTTTTCCTTTACCATAAACTCTCTGTGGGCTTATGATCCCTACCAAAACATAATCATAATTTTTTCTGTCTTTTTCTCCTATTCTTAATTATTACAAACACTTTTATAAATATTTTTTGTGCTTTCCTAAACATTTTCTCCCCAAGGATATTTGTCACAGCTTCACACCCATGCCATTGTACGCTAAACACATTGCCAGTTTCCTTGCCTATGGTTCGGGCTATGTGTTAGCTTGAACCATAAAAATTCCCAAAGGCAATGCAGGAGGAGGTGGAGGATGAAACAAAGCCATAGACAAAGCAGATGAAAGACGACAGCGACAACATTTTAGTCGCTTTCCTTCATCTATATATCCTTTTATTATCCTTTAAGCATGCATGCAGCATTGCAAATTGTTTGCTTGTTTGTTTACTCATAGCTCAGAGTTGAAGGTACAAGTTTGCGTTTTTTTTTTGTTCTACTCTTCTCTCCTCTTTGGACTTTGATTTGCATTAAAGTTTCCTTGATATCCGCCAGCGTAAACAAAAGTAGTAAAAAGAGAATAGACGCCTGTTGGTTTTTGTTTTTGTCTTCTGTGCGATTGACCCACTTTGTCGTTGTAGTTAATGTTTGACGTCGATATGTTGTTCAAGTTGTCTTCTTCTTCTCCTCCTCTCCATTTATAAAATTTGTTGTAAATTAGAAAAAAAAAACGATTGCACAATTGATGACACTTGCATCTAAATTTGTTGCCCAAAAATGCATTGGGCGTAATCATGATGCAATAATAAGGTGATGTATCAAAACAAAACATTTGTTTTTGTCTCGACCATCTGTCAAATGTCTCCTTATAATATTTCAAAAATTTGGCAGCATTACACATCGAATTCAACTAGATATTACGCACTTTGACAGTTAATCAAGACATCAGCTGCTCTAAATGGACTACCTATTCATTGTGCCATGGCCTATAAATAAGGTCATCAAGGGAGACCAGCTAATTATCGATACCTCTCAAGTTTGCTGTCAAAATGCATTATTGTGAATTGACTTCCATTATGAAAACGTTAA